GGCATTGGCAGAAATATCCCATAAAAGACCCCTTGTGCTGGATCCAGTCAGAGCAGCAGAGTTTTTAAGCAGATGCTCAAGGTGCAGTCGCTTCATTATTCAATTATGACAGAATTCTCCCCAACAACTTAATGAAGATTCATTTGTGATGTATTAAACCATTTTTTCTGTTGAACATAAAGATCAGTGCTAGGAGCTATACATTCTGCGAGATAATTGCACCATGTAATTCTGGTGCTTCAACAATTTATACTGAAATATTGATGGATATGTTCCAACATTCTTCTTTTTTTTTTCTTTTTAATTCTTTTTGCAAGCATATTTCATAATCTTTTAAATATCTCTCCCCTGAAAACTTTAATGTAAAGTACAAATCCTCTTATGTAAGAGAGTTTAATGCATCTGGATATTGCTAAGCAAACAAAAGCATTTCAGAGCCGTTTCTGTTCTCAGAAATAATAGAAATTGGTAACAGAAGGTATTGTAAATATGAATTTATGAGGAATATGCAATAGCAGAAAGGCATGACTAAGAAAAAGTTCAGGGTTTCTCTTTAATATCAGAAGCACAAAATATCTTTTCTGATTTTTCATTAGCATAACTAAGTAAAGCACCCTTCCATTTTCAAATAGGAATTTATGCTAAGTGGCATTTTGCATAATCTCCTTAGGAGAGGCCCTGTGGAATTTTGCTGTGTGTGGTTCCTGCATTGACCCAAGACCCGAATCAAGAAATTGAGATGCAGTGGGGTTGAACAGAGCAGTGAGGAGCATCTCGGAGAAGGAACCTTACTCAGAAATGGGTTGGAAGAGTTCATTCAAGGGGTTTGAGTGTCTGCTGTGAAAAACAAACTTCAATCAAGTTAATAAGTAGCCAGGATAAAGGATTTTGTTGTGAATTTATATAAACTGCGCTGAAAACTCTTCGGTTTGCTCTAGGAGGAAAGTTTTGGAAGATTGCTGAGAGCTTTGCTTTACCCCGGGGGTTAATTGGCACAGAAAATGTGAGGGTTTACCTGTGACATGCTCTCGGTTGCTGGTGTGGGAACAAACCATAAACTGGAGAGGAGGACCTGTGAAATCCATAAAAACTCCTGCAATTTGTCACAGTGTCCTGTTCAGGTGTGAACTCCCAACGCAGTTTCTGTGTCTGCTGATCTGGGTTTGTTGTTCCCCTGATCACACCATGCCAAGATGGTTTTCTGGGTACTCTTTCCTGTTTTTTTCTCTCTTTTCGTGCAACTTTCCTGCACTTTTTCTCTGCTCCATCTGGGAGTGTCCAAGGCCAGGCTGGGTGGAGCTCTGAGCACCCTGGGCTATGGGAGGTGTCCCTGGCCAAGGTCACCATTAAGGTCCTTTCCAACCCAGGCCATTCTGAGGTTTCTGCTGAGGATTTATGTACAGCTTGTCCAGACAAAATTGCTGAACTCTCCTGGAAGTCTCCTGGCTGACAATGAGCCATGAGCCATGAGCCATGAGCCTTTTTTCCTTTCAGCTCCTTCCCTAAGCCCACAAGGCTGGATACTTTCTGTGAGAATGGTGACATTCCATCACCAGGAGCTGCCCCTAGACGCTCATTCCATGTCACACAGGTCTCCAGCAAGAATCAGATCCTAAAGAGTGCCAGGCCAGCTGCAGTGTCCCAATCCCAGTGTCCTGAGCCTGTTCTCCATCAGAGTGTCCCAATCCCAGTGTCCTGAGCCCGTTCTCCATCAGAGTGTCCCAATCCCAGTGTCCTGAGTCCGTTCTCCATCAGAGTGTCCCAATCCCAGTGTCCTGAGCCTGTTCTCCATCAGAGTGTCCCAATCCCAGTGTCCTGAGCCCATTCTCCAGTGCAGCTGCAGTGTCCCAGTCCCCAATCCTGAGCCCATCCTGCACTGGAGCTGCAGGGCATTGCTGCAGCCTTGCCCTGGCAGCAGAGATGTTGTTGCAGTGCCCACCCAGGGCTATTCTCCTTGGGCTCGTGCCATCCTTTCTGGGCAAGGGTACAGATCATGTCCTGACTGTGCCAGCCACGCTGCTTGTGCCTCATTTCTGCCTGTGAGCCTGGCTGAACAGAAAAAGGATCCTCTCTATGTATTTATATCTGTACCAGGGGTGTTCATGGATCATCTGACACCTCGGGATGGTCCTGGGGGATGACAACGAGACACCCAGTGCTGCACAACGTGTTTTGGCAAGCAGGAAGGGGTGGAAACCCCATGCCCGCCTTTCCTCCTGCAAGTCTTCATGTTTCTTTTTGGCACATCCCCGCAAAGAGGAACAAGATGCAAAACCCTGCCAAAGCTTCTTGTGGAAGAGATGACATTTATATTGTTATGCAGTTTGCTGATCTAAACATACCATTGCCTTGCTTTGATAGCCCAGGGCAAGTGATAATCAGCTTGTTTGGTGGGCACCCTGCCATCTGAAAGGGGGGACACAAATAGAGACAGTTTGTGCATCATCCACCAGCCTTGCAGGAACACGATTCCCAGCTGAGAGCGTGGAAATGTGTCTGTCTCCTGAGCGTGTGCATGTTGGCATGGAAAAGAGAAGTGACAGCGTTCAAGAGAATGGGTTTGGAATAAATCAGGGTTGTGTGTTGAGGCTGCTCCGAGCTGGCTCTCACTATGTAAGTCACTGGTGGAAATGGTGGAAGCTCTGGGAGGCACCAAATTTGATCAGCTGGGATGAGACTTTGTGGGACTGCTCTGCATGAGGAGCTTTTCTTCTCTCTTCATCCTCTGGGGCATCTCCAAAAGATGTTTGGTCTTACAGGTAACAGGGAAGATGAGGAACTCAGGTTCCTGGATTTTCTTCTGGGCAATTTGCCCTCTCCGAGTGCCTGGCACCACCTCGTGTGTGTTCCAGGACCTGGATTGCATTGGTGCTTCAGGACTGAGGACTTTAATCAGGGCTTGCTGGAAGGGTCTGGATTGCTGCAGTGGATGCATGGATGGATGGATGATGGATGGATGGATGGATGGATGGATGGATGGATGGATGGATGGATGGATACAAGTCTTTGACCAAGGCATCCGTGGAAAACAAGGACAATGGACTGTGTTTTCTGCCAAGGAAGACCTTGAGGCTCAGGAGCAGAGTGGGGAGAGTGTCTGGTGTCACCTGTGAGTGCCCTGATTGAATGAAGCTGCCTTCAAACCACAGGAAAACCCCCTCTGTCACTCCAGGAGAAATTCTGGTTGGATTTAAGGAGAGGAGGAACCCCAGACCTGGGAGAGTGGTGCAGCTCAGTGAGGCTGTGGCATCTCTAATCCTAAGGATCTTCAGATTTGTGTGGACACCAGCAGATTCCATTTTTAGTTAAGCCATGATTTGAGTGATGGTTCAGGTGACTCTCAACCATCTTTTACACCCTCTGCACTTCTGTTCTACAAACCTCTCTGGAGATTTTCTGGATTTGCAGTCAGATCAGGAGGAGCCTCTCCATCCTCACTTCCAGCAGCATCTGAACTGCCCTCCGTGCCATTTCCCACCTTTTTTTGGCTCTTTGATGCACGTCCCTTCCCTGTTTCCATGCACCCCTTTCCTATTTGCTTGTTTATCCCTCAGAGCGGATTTTCAGGGCTGTGTTTTAGGGAAAGCTCGACCTGTGGATGTTCCACAGAAGCAATTACCTTTCAAAACCCCTGAAGATGGGCTGAAAGTGGATACTTACATGAAATAAAGGGGGGCTTTGGGTGTACAAACAGAACTTGAGTTCTTTCTGGTTATCTGGCCCTCATCCCAGCCTTTTTGAAGGATAATCATCGTTCCAAGAGAGGTTTTCATGGACTGTAGCATACACTTTATATTTCACTGTGTAATGGAACCTTCCCTACACTCAAGGAAAACAATTTACAGAGCTAATTGCTGAAGTCTGCAGATATAATCCTTTAAATGGGTTCTGTTAGATAAGAGTTTATGTTAAAAAAGAAGAAACGTTCTAGAGGAAAATTATTGTTTAGGGAACATTGATTTGCATGAATTAATGTTTTCACTTCAGCTGAGAGTTAAAAATGGATACTTAAGCTAAGCCCCATTTCAGTGTAACATCAATGCTTCATTAGTTCTGGTGTGAGCTGAAATCCATTGTTTGTTTGCTTTTTTGTGCCGTCAAACTTCAGCTGGCACCGAGTCAAACTGTCCCAAAGATTTCATTTTTTGAATTAAGAAATAAAATAAAATTTAAAAAAAATAAAAGCCCTGCATGGACTGTGAGAGGGGAGGATGGCTCAGAGCTCTCTTTGTTACTCACTGCTTCAGTTTAGACATTGCTCTCCACCCTCCTGTCTCAGCCTACTTATCAGGGAAATTAAGGGTGGTGTTAATGATCTTACCTGACACCGTTGTGGCAGGAATGAACTGATGAATATTTGCACAGTACAATATTTGTACAAAGGTGCTGCATCACTTGTGCTGCAGGAGCAGCCATCTGTCACAGCTCTCAGCTTTAAAGTCTGCAAGGAGCGTTTGGGGCCGGGGTAACTTTTACAGAACTTGGGGGTTTGATTGCTGGTTTTTTATGGCTTAGGTTTAATTCAGAACTTAGCCCAGGTCTGAGCCTGCTGCCAGTTCTTATAGTCCCTAAAATTTGGGTTATAGCACAAAATGAGAGGTTCAGCACTGTTTAGGAGGTGTTCGTAATGAACTAGACACAGTATTTAATGTAATTTAATTTAATTTTAATCCCTTTTCTCGCATGTAGCCCAGTGCTGGTGGCAGACTGAGGGAGACGGAATAGCCCCAGCCTTTCAAAGCCACTCTGTGGAACACAGAGTATGTGGATTTGTTCTCCATGGTTTTCTTTAATTATCCTGCAATTTCTGTGCTGTGCTTACCTCCGTTATATTCAGAAGAAGATTTCAGAATAAGGGATATCCAAAGAGGAAGAAACTAAGGAAAATATTCACATTGAGGCCACTCCCAGCACGTGACCAGAGCTGGGCTCTCCAGCACTCAGCAGCTGAGGAAAATCTGGAGTTAATTTCTAATTTCACCATGGATTCCCTTCTTTTGCAGGGTCTGCCAGTGCTGGTGAAGTCTTTTTTGTGAAGCACACAGAAAATCTGCCATCCCAAATCCATCTCCTTCCCACTGGCCGACAGCCTGAGGAGGAGCTGTTCACAGGTGAGATGTTCCATCCATCACCTGGAGGGATCAGCCTTTGTTCCTTGTGCCAGCTGGGAATTGAACTGAGAATTAAGAGCTCAAGAACTTTTAAACTCAGATTTATTTGTGTATTTGTAGTGTGATACATCACATGAACCCATTGCTGCCTCAAATTTTTAACTTGAAATTAAGGGGTGTGAAAAGGGAAATCATTAAGGACCCTTCCAGCTCAAATAATTCCATGATTCTATGAAGTTCCTGGGTGCAAAAACACATATTAAGTGGAAAACAGACTTGACTCTCACTGAGATCATTTAAACCTCCCTTTATTTTTTTGGACACCCACCATCCTGCTGGGAAAACTGGATTTATTTTTGAAATCCCTAATTAAGGACGGGAATTTCACATCAGGCAGATGCTGTCACTTTGTCCCAGCCCTTCCAGCAAAAATCCATGTGCATTTTGGTGCCTTGGGCTCTGAGACTGGAGGATGGCTCTGAGAAGCATTTCCCTCCTGGGAGCTGCAGTCAGGTTGAATCCCAAAGTTACAACACAGGAAGAACCCCCTGAAAACAGCAGGAATTGCCACAGGATTTGGGCAGCAAACACAGGTTGGGACACTCTGGGTATTTGCTTTAATCCCCTCTGCTTCTATTTTGAATTTGCTGTGTTCTTACTCACTAAACCACTTTCCTTTTTGGCCCTGTTTGCCCGTGGCAGAAGGAGGAGGGATATTTTGGAAGCTGGAGAAGTGCCAGTAACTCCTGCAGGTTTTTCTGCCCCTCTCAGACACTGACCCTCTGTAGAATTCCCCACAGAGATTCCCCAGCCTCCCACAAGGCATGGACAGGATTCAGGTTCCTGAAGGTCTGAGGGGATGAGGGAGTTGGGATTTAGGGGCTCCTGCTCCTTTAGGCTCAGCAGGAGGGATTCAGGGAGCCTAAATATTGCCAAAATATGGCCAAAAAATCAGGAGCAAGTGCATCTTGAGCTGGCTGGAGCTCTGAACAACCCAGGGCAGTGGAAGGTGTCCCTGTCCATGGAGCTGGATGGGCTTTGAGGTCTCCTCCAACTATTCTGGGAATTCTATGAGTCTTGATTTATTATTATTTTTGTAAATTATTTTTTGTTTCCTCCCAGCAGAATGGGAGTTCCAAGGGTCTTGCTGCCATGCTGCCACACGTTGTGGTGTGGTTCAGCAGGAATTCCTGGGGGGAAAAACTCCAAACCTGTCACAGAGCAGAGCCTCTCTTTTGGAGGAGTAAACAGATCTCACTTCTATTTTTTTGTTTCCCTTTTCCCTTGAGCTGAAATTTGGGAAATCCATTTCACACCAGGTGGTGAGGCTTGGACCAAGCAGGAAAAAATCCCCTCTGGTGTTTGCTCATTTACTTAGGTGCCCAGAGCTCCTCTCACCACTCCCAGAGAAAGTTTGTGCAGGTCCTAAAATAATTCCGTGCCTCTGGCCCACCAATATCCCCATTTGGTCAGCCTTTTATAGAGTAATTACTGTTTGACATGGCACTGCAGCTGGGGCTGGGCTTATTTTGGGTCAGGAGATATAAAAAGCTGCTTGTGAAGAAAAAAAAAAAAAGAAAAGAAAAAGATGCCTGTGTTTGTTGATCTGTCATCCTAAACAAATGAGTGCAGGGAGTTGTTTTTTCTTATTCTTACTCACTTCTTTTTGTGATTTATTTTGCTTTAAGGGTTATTTGTGAGAGAATTGGTTGGGTACCGAAGGCATCCAGCCTGGCTAATTCAGATACATCTCTAATTACCAAAATTCTAATTATTCTGGGCCGTCGTGTTGGTATTGGGACAGTTTCACGGGGTGGCACAAACCCAGGAAAAGGGGTCAGGGCTTAACCATGGGAAATTCATTTTCCTGAACTGGTGATGGGTGGGAAGAAGCACCTTGAGGGGAAGGTCTGTCCTCCAAATCCTTGGATTTCTGAGCAGGCAGCTCATTCCCACAGCTCTGCGTGGTGTCAGGAGCGTTTTCTCGAGTCCAACATCAAAAGTCCCTTCTCATTTCAATACCTTTGATATGCACATGGATATTTATGCACATGGATTTCACATTCTGGCCGGGGATGGGTGTACAGGAGTGCAGCCAGGGAAGGGGAAAACAGAACCATGTGCAAACACGAGTCACTCCTTCCCTGCCCCCAAATACAGGTGCCTGTGTGGGAAACAAGTTGTGAAGCTGTTTATGGGAGCAGAGCTCAGGAAGCTGGGATATTATATCCCCTTTTACAGTTTCCCATGCTGGGCTGGTTGTTTCACCTCAAAATTTAGGCATTCCACTCGATTTCACAGAAGATCCCAATATTTTAGTCATCTTAGGGAACAACGTTGTCCACTGGGAAGGAGGAAGTGGCTCTGGATCTGGAATCAGGGCTTTGGTTGTATTTTTTCTGTTGGTTTTACGGCCTGGGACAATCCTTAGCACTGTGCTGCACCTCTGTTTAACAGCAAAATGGGATTTTAACACTGAGTTACCTTGCCCTGAACTATTCCAAGATGAAATTGAAGTTTTTGAGAGCTTTTGGCATCAGAGGAAAGGAGCAGTTATGAGAACTATTCCTGTGGTTTGGCTTTATTAACCATCCCAGCTTCCTGAGGAATTGTATCCATGGAATGGGGCTGGGGAGCAAACCAGGAGCAGACAGGCAGGATCAAATCCCTTCAGGGGCAGTTATACAACAAAGCAAGGAGGGCTGCACCCTGGCTTGATTTGTCCTGTCAAAAATTCCAAAATACACATGAAAAACCATTTCTTAGAACAAAAAAAAAGACAAGAGAGCTGATATTTCAATGGCTGTTGAGACGAGGGAGATGTGAAAATGAACACTTTGAGGATTTTATCTCTTGAACTGGGAATCTGAAAGCAGAAGGGATCTGGAACAGCCCTTGGCTCAGGAATGGCTCTCAGGTTTCTTGGCTCCTGTTCTCCATCGGCTGTGCCAGGCAGGTGGGGAGTGGAATCCTGGAATCCTGGGCTAGAGGCAGATCCACCCTGAAAAGGGAAACAGAGCCATGGACACGATTTTCCCTCTGCTGGGTTGGGGTGTCCTGTCAGGTATCCATCATATTGGATAGATTTTGTCAGTATCCATCACATTATTCCTCATATTCATATTCATATTCATCCCCTTGCTGTTTCTTCAGGTGCTCCATCCCAGCTCTGATTTCTGCTGGATATTTCCATATTCCTGGTAAGAATCTGATTATTTTTTTCCAACTACAGCAAATCTAACATGTCCAGGTAAAAGCTCCTGTAGGAAGTAATAGGAAGGAGAAAAATTTGGAGCCAGGCTGTCAGGGATGAAATCTTATTCATCCTAAAATTACTCTGAGGCTTTTATTGATCAGAAAAGCTGCACTCAGAGGCTCTGTCTTGAGTAGCTACAACAGGTTTAACTCACTGTTAAGTTCTTACTTGAGTTCATTTTATCATCCTGGCTTTTGCTTAATTCCATGCTTCTCTTCAAGGCAACAGGGAAAGCCTCACATGGTGCAGAGACAGAAAAACAAGTGCAGCTTTCCTTCCAGCCCATTAATTCTCTTCCATGGAGCTCTGCACCAGTGTGAGCACACGACTGGGAGGAATCACAGGGCAGACATCTCCACATTGCAGAAGCTCCAAAAAAAGTGGATTTGTTTTGAAGCTGGGCTTAGTTCGTTTGTCCAAAGTCGTGGCCGGTTTTGGGAGCTCAGAACATTCTTGCTGTTCTGCCTCAGGATGAAACTTAGATCATAGGAACTGCAGAGAGATCCCAAAATATTTGAAGCTGTTTAAGTAAATGTAGACCTAATTCAGAGTTCTTTGCTGAGTGAGGCCAAGCAGGGATTTGAACCTGATTTTTATGCGCGCTCTTTTCTTCTCTCTCCCCCTTTCAACTCCAAGTTCCATCTTATATTAAAGAAACCATCCCAGGGGATTTCATAAAAATGCTTTATTCAGGTCAGACTTTATTTTTTTTTAACTGACCTGGTGTTTTGTGTCCAGCCACCCCCACCCCTGAAACAAATAAATAGGTTTAGCAGTGGAAATTTTCTGAGGAAATTTTCCTGTCTTGATCAACAATTTGTGTCATTTTACAACAGTCTGGGTTAGAACTCTGCCTAACTGTGTAATATAAAGGACAGAGAGCAAGGGGAATGTCCAGGATGGGAAAATCTGGTATTCAGGGGACAGTGTCCATCCAACCTCTGCTGGGTTCATTGACCTCTTGCTGTCCTGGACAGAAAAGGAAACTCCAGTTTTTCTTCCCTAGTCCGGATGCTGACTCACCTGAGTGGGGAAGGCAAACAGCCGCAGGGCTGGCGTTCACTGGTGTCCCAGTGTGCCTGGGGACAGCTCACCAGCTGCTTGGCTTTGCTTTTTGAGTTACTCACCCCTCTCCTGGTCCCCAGGTCTCTGTCACCGCTGAGTAAGTTCTTTCTCCCAATTTGTTCCAAAGCCAGGGGCAATATTTGGGTGTTTGTTGTTTCCTTGATGGCCAGTGTCAGTCCCAGCCTGTTTTGCTGGGTGCTGGAAACCTGTCCCGACTCCTCTGTCCCTTCCCTGTGCCTGTTCCCAAATGCTGCCCTGCTCTGGGGTGGATTGATGAGCTGTCCCCGTGCTGCTGTGTTTCACTGCCCACCACCAGGATGTCCCTGTTCCCAAATTTCTGCAGCCTGGCCGTGCCCAAGCAGCACAGACAGTCGCAGCCATCCTGGTCCAGTCAGGGAAGCTTTGGGGTGTGTTCCCACACTCTCTGCCTGCTCCAGAAGGTTTCCAGGTCCCTTCAGACCAAGAAACTCCCTAAAATCTCACTGCAGAGGGCTTCACTTAGGGTGCTGTGACACTTCCCCTGGTGTCCAGCGAGCACCCAGCTGGGGATATCAGTTCAGCCAGGCTACTGGGAAGAGGCTGAGCAGTGCCCAGGCAGGATGCTGATGGCCCTTGAGTCCTGCTGGCTGTGGCACTGCAGGTACCAACCTGCCACCCGTGCTCGCCTCGGCGGGCACGG